CTCAGCGAGGAGCCTGCTTCTCCCTCTGACCCTCCCCACTCTCATGTACTCTCTCTCATTCTCGCTCTCTCAAATAAATAAATAAATCTTTAAAAAAAAAAAAAAAGACTAATTCCTAAACAATATTGTGAAGCTGTACCTCAGTCACTAGGCTAGAAATAATCCAAGCAGTAGAGGTTTCATGACCCCAAACTGGTGCTATTTCTGTTTCTTTCTAAATTAGTATAACTCTACTGTGTTTTGTTGTTATTGTTTGTTTTTTGTAAATTCTCATCTCAGTAATTCACAAATGCTACACAAAGGACATAGGATTAAAACATTTGGGTCAATAACTTCAGAAAGATGAGTTTTGACTAGGAGGAAGGAACATGGAAAAAAACCATTTCAGTCCAGAAAACCTCTTTTTACAATACAAAAGTTCAAGATAAGAAAACACCCAACACCCTGTTGGAGATAAGTGGGAAAGAAGAATCAGTGGGAACCACGAAAGTCAGAAAGGAATCAACGAAATAGTGCGGGTAATGGAGACCCAAGGATGGTTGTCAATGCTGGAGTGTAATAGGCTACGAACAGAAATAAGGTATGAGGAACTTAATGGGAGGGTGAAACGAGCTCGACTCCCAGGAAGAGCTTTTCAGTTTGTACTTTCTGGTAGACAGTCAGCAGGTGGTGGACCATGACAAGTACTGCTTCATGAGCACATGGCAATGCAAACTCATAGGTTAAGGCACTCATAATCTCAGTGGTCATTGTACACAGTCTCTATACTATACATTTATTTTTTCATAGGTCTAAAAATGTCTGCACATTGGATTTCTGTTCAGTAAGAACTGACAGGGGGTTTAAGAAGGCCTAGTTTCAAAGAGTGAAAATAACTGAATAAAATTATATTTTTACAAAAGTACAATTTTTTTTCCCATCCAGTCCATAGTGTTGTGGACTCTTGAGGCAACTTCCAACAAGAATGATGTTTTATATGCTTTCTACGGTAGCAGAGAGGTGAGTATCATGGTCTGTAGGGCAGAGCAATAAATATAACTCTGGTAATCCTTTGTATGTTTAAAGTCAGGGAATATTTCAAGGGACTCATTCTCATTTTGTTGGGATGAATAAAATTAAATAAAAGCACAAAGTACCTGATTAAGGAGCAAAAAGATTTTAGGATTTGGTCAAGCACATAAAAGGGCCTAATGAGAGAAGGAATATATGTTACAATTTTCTGCCTTCAGTTGCTCAGCTAGATTCAATTAGTGGAGTTTTCTAAAAGATTTGGACCATATTTCCAATTCAGATATTATTAGAGATCATCATAACTTAAATCTCTGTACTGGCTTACATCAAATTACCTAACCTTCCAACCTAAAATCAATGTACTTAAATGTTTTCCTGGTGCTATGTATTTACACACACACACACACACACACACACACACACACACACACTAGCCCACTCTTGAAAGGAGAACTGTGTTAGGAGCAAGTACCCTCAGTATCCAGCATGTGGCTTGTACAGTGAGAGATTCCTTAAAAGTTTGGGGTTGATGATGAACCCAGTGTACAAGGGTTCCACATTAAGTCATAATTGGCTTTGTGTTGGGAGAGTTATGTGTCAATTGGTGAAATCAGGCACAGAGGAGAGTAAGAGTTTCTCGTATCAACAGCATAGCAACTGATCACCCACGTGTTACTCAAAACAATAGAACGTCAGGGAGGACTTTTCTAATCCCAGAAAAGAGGCGTGATCTTGCCTTGATGTCTTTCTTGGAGAAAACGTCTACAGCAGATCTGATGGAGAATCTGAGGGAAGAACTGACCTGTTTCATCTGCTTGGACTATTTCACCAGCCCCGTGACCACTGAGTGTGGGCACAGCTTTTGTCTAGTGTGTCTCCTGAGGAGCTGGAAGGAACACAACACTCCTTTATCTTGTCCTGAATGCTGGAGGACCTTGGAGAGCCCACACTTCCAGCCCAATGAGCGTTTGGGGAGGCTGGCTGGCATCGGCAAGCAGCTCCGATCCCAGGTGCTGCAGAGTGAGGGCGAACAAGACAGCTATGGGAGAATGCTGGCAGGCATTAAGGTGTTCTCTGAGGATAAGCAGGGTATAAACATTTTCTCAACTCAATGTCATGGAATAAACAGATCGTATCCCTCAAGTGAGGCTGAGGAGCGTCACAAAGTAAGATTGGCTGCTCAATATAAATCTCAGAATACAAATCCTGTTCCATCACTTATTCCCATAATATTCTCTACTGGTGACAATTATGGGTACTGGTCTCCAGGCACCAGACCACAGACTTGGTGTGGATGCTGCTTCACCCTTTGTGTTAGATCCCACTCATCTTGTTTTTATTGGTCCTTGAGGCTTCTTCACAAACTGGTGCTCTGCTCATTTGCCACAGAGAATTTGTTTCTATTGCAGGAGAAACTCCAGGAAATCCTAAGTCTTTTGCATAAAAAGAGAAAGGAAACCCAGGTTATATTAACCCATGAGAAGGAGAGAGTAATACTGTGCAAGGTCAGTATCTGTCTTACTTCTTGTAGATGATTCTATGAGAGGGACTAAAGGGATACTTAGTGAAATACCAGGGGAAAAAGACAAAAATTTTCTAATCACAGCCCTACAATATGCAATGTCCTTATTTTGGACTGCTTCCTTCTGCTTGTCCACCTGGGAATCCCAAGACTCAGTTAAAACAATTCCCCCATCCCCAGGCCTGCTTATTTATTTATTTTTTTCCTTCTTGGTCCACCCGTACAACTTGATGGCTACCTCCATTATGGCTCTGATTATAATTTTGTAAAGTTACAAATTATAGACAACATAGGATGAAAATCCATAGAAAAGGAATATCTCAAACGCTTTGGGGAAAAAAGAGAGTACAAATAAAAAAAATAAAGACAAAGGGAAATTAAGGCCAAATAATAGTCTGGGTTAGTACACCTGAACAAATACTTGAGTTAGTCACAGATTTGAAGTCGAGGTGTCTAACAAAGAGCTAACTGTTTAGTTAGACATTTAAAAAATATGTGTGTGTATCTGATTCTCCCAATACACTGAGTTCTTAAATGGGAGTATTTGTGATGTGCATCTCTATTTCTGGATGTGATCCAATGTCTACTTTCATTGGATATTTATTAAATAAATGAACACATGCTTTTTTCATATTTTTGTCCTTTATTTATTTATTTATTTTTTATCGTGGAATGGATCACCACCTGTCATAGTTTATTTTTGTTTTGTTTTTTTTCCCCCACTAGAATGACACCTTCTGGGAGTAGAAATTTTGGTTTTGTTTACTACTGTATACATACATCCCTTCTAAAATACCACACTATCCACCCAAGTGCTTAATACAATATATGTTGTGTGTCACAGCAGAACTCTAGGACTTTGTAAGGATTAAGAATCTACATAGGCATTTCTGCTGCTAACTTTATTATGTCATTCCTGTTTGTGTATGTGTGCACGCATGCATGTGTGTGTGTGCGTGTGTGCGTGTGTTGGTGGCAGGAAGAGACAAAGGCCTGTAAACAGGTTGTTGTGTCAGAATATGGAAAAATGCACCAGTTTTTGAAGGAGGAGGAACAGCTACAGCTCCAGTTACTGGAAAAGGAGGAAAGAGAGAACATGAAGAAACTAAGGGACAATGAGATCAAGCTGACCCAACAAATAAGAAGCCTGAGCAAAATGATTGAACAGATAGAGTCCACGTGTCAGAGCTCCATTATAGAATCGTTTGAGGTAAGAATATTGGGAAAAATCAACGGAATAACAACAACAACAACATGTAGTAACCCATACTTTTTCAAGCCACGCAAAGTAAGTTTTTCTTTATTTCCCTGAGAAACTAAGTTCCGGTCCCCAAATAGTTTTCCTTAAGAATTAACGTTCTATAGTATAAATAAAGTCTTGAAGAGACAGAGAAAAAACAAATCCAGTGGAATACCTAGCCAAACCAACCCTGATGATGACTCTAATTTCTGCTCTGTCTGCAACTTCAGCTTCTTCAGTTATTTTCAGTCGAAGGAGCATGTCCTAGGTGTTGCTGCCACCTTACATTTTTTTTTTTTAAATCCAACTATTTAATTATCTGCTTCCATACACACGGAACTGTTACAGTACAATGGTGTAAGAAAACATTTTCTTACTGTCATAGGTTAATTTGTCTAGCCTGTGCATTGCTATTAGTTTATTGAATCATTACCACAATTAAAAAATAATGACTCTGAGTACCTTCTCCTAGCAAAGTTAGGTTGGGACACACAGCTCATGAAGCACCCATAGCAAAAGCCTTTCTTCCAGTGCATCATGGACAAGACTTTGAAAAAACACTGACATAAGGAAATTACAGTCTAATGCAAGAGATAGACAATTAAAAAAAAATAAACTGCAACACAAAGGCCATAAAGGAGAGGTACAAAGGACTAGGAGGCTTCTACTGGAGAGGAGGAATGTGGTTATCCAAGGAAGTCTGGAAATGCTGCCCCAAGGAAGCCGAAGCTAAGAAGGTAGGAAATAGGGGAGGTGCAGGATAGCCAGGATTCCCTGTAGCCCACTGAGGTAGCTTTCGTTCATCTCTTGGACTCATTTTTAAGGTATGGTTGTTGGGCAAACAGTTCAGTAAAAGCTTGATATCTTCTTTAAAATGATTGGTGGTTTGAAGGGAAAGCTATCATCAAGTACAAAACCAAACACATTCTTTGTGTTTTTTCCCCCTATCATCTAAATGTGCTTGGTCTCCACCTCCCAAAACCTTTTATTAGACTTTCACATGGTGTTGCCTAAGGGTTTTCCACATGGGCTTTTCTATAGAACACAGGCTGCGGGTAAAGTGTGCCTCCAAGGAATTTAGACTGTTCGGTTTTAAAAATACCAAACTTGCAAACTCAAGAATGTCTACTTTTTAGTTTAGTCTCGTTATAAAATTCTAGCAAACCCTTTACCACACAAAAGCCTTGGGTTTGGTCCCATTTGTAGGGCTAAACCATTTCATGTAGTCAGGCTATAGTTATAGTTGAATCTAGTCAGTATCTTTGACTACTTCAATGGTTTGACTTAAAACCTCCCTAGGCATGACATTCTTGTGGTAAGTTAAGCTTATAAAAATAGTGAACCTGGGCGCCTGGGTGGCTCAGTCGTCAAGCGTCTGCCTGTGGCTCAGGTCATGATCCCGGGGTCCTGGGATTGAGGCCCGCA